CTTGACTAGGCGAGGGTGTGCTCCCGGGAGGGACAGCCCACGGGGTCCTCCATCCTAAAAGCTTTTTTTTTTTTTTTTTTTTTTTTTTTAAATATTTTATTGATTTTTTATAGAGAAGAAGGGAGAGGGACAGAGAGTTAGAAACATCGATGAGAGAGATCGATCAGCTGCCTCCTGCACATCTCCTACTGGGGATGTGCCCGCAACCCAGGTACATGCCCTTGACCGGAATCGAACCTGGGACCCTTCAGTCCGCAGGCCGACGCTCTATCCACTGAGCCAAACCGGTTCGGCGATCCTAAAAGCTTTTTAAAAAATATATATTGTATTGATTTCAGAGAGCAAGGCAGAGGGAGAGAAAAAGATAGAAACATGAATGATGAGAGAGAATCATTGATTGGCTGCCTCCTGCACACACTCTTCTCCCCACAGGGGATCAAGCCTGCAACCTGGGCATGTGCCCTGCCCGGGAATTGAACCATGACCTCGGGTTCATAGGTTGACACTCAACCACACTGAGCCACACTGTCTGGAATGATTTTTTTTTAAAAAAAATATATTTTATTGATTTTTTACAGAGAGGAAGGGAGAGGGATAGAGAGTTAGAAACATCGATCAGCTGCCTCCTGCACACTCCCCACTGGGGATGTACCCGAAACCAAGGCACATGCCCTTGACCGGAATCGAACCTGGGACCCATGAGTCCGCAGGCTGATCCTCTATCCACTGAGCCAAACTGGTTAGGGCTGATTTTTTTTTTTTTTTTTTTAAAGAAAGGGGAATGGAGAGGGAGAGAGAGAAACATTGATGTGAGAGCAAAAGTGAAACTTTGATTGGCTGCTTCCTTCACACTTCCTACTAGGGATCCAGCCTGCAACTCGGGCAAACCAGCAACCTCCAGGGGCATGGGGCGACCCCCAACCAACTGCCACACCAGCCAGGGCAAGAGGATATGTTTTCATTGACTTGAGAGAGAGAGGAAAGAAGGGAAGGAGACAGAGAAAGATCAATCGGTTGCTTCCTCCCATAGGACCCCGACCAGGGATCAAACCTGCAACCTAGGTATGTGCCCTGACTGGGAATCAAACCCGAAAACTTTCGGTTTACAGGGCAGCGCTCTAATTGACTGAGCCACCGGCCAGGGCAGCTGGAGGGTTTTACAGGCGGGAACTTCGGGAAGGTCGTGTGGGATTATCTCCACAGAATATCCACCAGCTTTATGCCGAGGCACCAAAATGGGATTTGTCCCCCTGGCTTCATCTGTCCTTGGGTGGGGTTGGCACAGAGGGCACTGACTGGGTTTCCGCTGTCTGTGTCCCTGAGGGGGTGATTTAAGCTGTTTCCCTCTGGTGGGGAGAAGTGTGAACCGTTATTCTTAAGTGTCCTTGCGTAAGAAGGTAGGGTTTGCAGTTCACTAGATGGCTGTAAACTGCTTGTGTGTGTGAACCGCTTGGCCGTTTAACTATCTGCCTCAGTTTCTCTGTTCCGCTCGTCCTGGCTTACTGGCCTGTCTCAGAAAGACACAGCAATGTGTGTGAGTGACCCCTCCGGGCGCTCCCTCCTCCTGGCAGCTCGATGTCAGGTCACTAGGGGAGCTGAGGTTTTCAGCCATCGTATACTAGGTTCCTCATAGGCCATGTCGAACGAAAAATAATATCGACTTGGTGTTTCATTGCCAGAAAGGATTAATTTGGGGAAAAATAAAAAGGTTGGGGTAGACCTAGGACTAGGCCAGGAGCCTGGATGAACCAATTAAAGGTGGAGCCCCAACCAGCCGGGAGGTTCTGCACCCCAGGCTTCTGCTTCCTGTTCCAGGAGTCCATGAGCCGAGGGCGGGGTCCCCTCGAGAGGAGTCAGGGGTCGCCCGAGGGGAGACGCAGGGCTTCGGGCCCCAGGTCTGTCCCCAGGTCCCTTCACTGCATCACTCTTGGTCTCAGCCCCACTCCCTCCTGGCTCAGTCCTGGGATTTATCCTGGGAGCTGTTTCGCCCACTCAGCCTGCATCGGTGAGAAGCCCTCGCCACCTGCCCCATCTGCCAGCTGCAGGCAGTCCCGGCAGGGGCTCCAGCCCGAGGGGCAAAGGGCCAGCCTGCGAGTCTTCTGCCAAGTGCAGGTGGCTTTCTGTCCTACCTCCACAAAGCCGGGGTGCTGCAGCACCTACCCTCACAGCACGCCCTGGTCTGAAGGGGCCTTGAAATCTGGGGATGCGGGAGGCTGGGTTAAATTTTCCTCCCTCCCCAAACCCTCTGCGCGCGCGCGCACACACACACACACACACACACACACACACACACACCCTTGGGCACTGTCTATGCAAACTTGAAACACCTATACCTTTTGACAACAGCTATACCTCTAGGAATTTCTCTTAAAGGGTATCTTCCCCCAAGTGTACAAAGAAATATGTGTACGTGGGAAGTTCATTTCCTTGGACAACCTGTGGACTTAATTAATAAGTGATGGTGCATTCATACAATGGGAAAAAAGGTTGCAACCATTGTGTGCAGACATTGCAAGCTGTGTGCACACTGCTCCGTGTGCTTAGGTGGGGAAGTGTATGTAGAGGGAAGAGGAAGTTAAACGGAAGGGCAGTTAGGGCCAGAGAGCTTTATTGCCAGCACGTTTTCTTCTGCAGGGCTCTCCTGGTGACGCACAGGACTCCTCCCATGAGCCCTGGTTCCTCCCACAAGCCCTAGCTCCTCCCACAGGCCCTGGCTCCTCCCACAGGCCCATGTTCATGAGCCTCAATCATAATATTTATCAACCAAAATGTCATTATGTGGCACATGACTGTATTCCCACCCGTGGACTGGGCATCCGCCCTAAGAAAATGCCGGTTCTCCACCCAATTGTGAATGTGTTCTGTGCAACACGATTTGTAATATCAAAACCTGCGAAGCCACCCGAAGGCCTGGCCGTGGAGGAGACGGAGCAGGCTTCATGTGCAGCCATGGAAGTGTCCGCGTGGCTGCAGGGAGCCCGGGCATGGGTGGCAGCGCCGTGCTCTGTGCTCCGGGGAACAGGGCAAGCGGATTCTGTGCCGCTGATTGCAGTGGTGTGTGCGCATAAGGCGCAGAGGACAAGGACTGAAAAGATGGGAAAGATGCTGAGTTTACAAAAAAAAAAAGGGGGGGGACCCTGAGACCTTTAAGTTATATAAATTCACAGTGGAAGAGACACCAAGCTGCAGCAAACGAAGCCTCGGGGAGTGTCTGCGAGTGGCTGGCCCGGGCCCACAGGGTCCGCTGGCTCCAGCTCCGGTTCTGCAGCCCTGGGTTCATACCAACCTTTTCCACTTACTCCCTGCCCCTCGCTTTTCAGGCCCTGTCTTCTGTCTCCTTTTGGCTTACTTTTGCAATACATTCCAGAAGCAGCCCTCTGCTAAGCAGCAGGAGCCATTGGAGATTAGAGTCACCCTTGTTTTCCGCAGTGAGAGAGGCGCTGGGTCATGGTTTGGAAGTCGGTGCAGAAAAGACGTGCCCCCCCACCCCCACCTCAAAGCAGGCCTTCCGGGATGTGAGGGTCTGGGCCCATCCGCAGAGCTGAAAACTCCCCCCAGATGCGGGTTTGGGGAAGGGAAGAGGGCTGCCATCTGCAACATCAGGGGCGGGGACCGGTGAGGTGCCAACATCGCAAATTGGACCCGCGGCGGTGCTGGCCGGGTGGCTGGCGGAGGGGAGGGCTAGGAGCTTCCCTAGGAGCCAAGAAGACAGTGTCGTCTGCGCCTCAGAACCCAGGAGACCTTTTCCCTTGAGGAGCCGAGAGGGGGCAGCAGCAGCGAGTCCTCAGGCACCTGTTCTCTTCCCTCGGGAGTGGGAGTCAGGTGAACCCACCTCTTGGGCCACATGAGCTCCCAGAGAGAGAGGCTTTCCCAAGGTGCCCTGGGTTTTCTGGGCCTGAGGGCAGGTGGGAGGTGGTTTTAAATTAATGGAAGGAAATAAGAGTACAAACCTGCAGCTAAAGCATTAGAGCAGGGGTCCTCAAACTACAGCCACATGTGGCCCGCCGAAAACATTTATCCGGTCTGCTGGGTGTTTTTGCCGCCGCTGTGTGCATAGGATTTTGTTCGTAGTTTTTTTTTAAACTATAGTCCGGCCCTCGAACGGTCTGAGGGACAGTGAACTGGCCCTCTGTTTAAAAAGTTTGAGGAAAGACTTGTATGCATGCATATAAACATAACTAATGGACATAAGACACTGGGGGGTAAGGGAGGGCAGGGGATTGTCAAGGGCGGGGGGTGGGGGAAGGACACATATGTAATACCCTTTGTAATACTTATTATAATATTTTTTTTAAAAGAATAAAAAAAAAAAAGTTTGAGGACCCCTGCATTAGAGCGACTCCTGCTGGCTGCTGGAACCGCAGGGAAGAATAGCTCAATGGCCCCGAAGCTGGACTTGCCCTCCTGGCGGAGGCTTCACAGAATTCAGGAATTACCGTGCTCTGCAGGCCGGTAACATGTCACTCAAATCCCAGATCCCGCTGGTCTGGTCGGATGGTCTTATTTCAGCCTCAGCTGCTCCGCCTGTGGAATGTCCTGCTGGCCGTTGGAGGCTGTATTCTCTCCCGTTCTCATTATGAACCTAGGATAGCAAGAGGCTTATCTCCGAAGGCAGCCTCTGAAAATCTCAGAAAAAATAGACATGTGATCTGTGGCATGAGAATCTAAAGTGAGAATAGATTTGGAGAGCTAGGAAGCTTTTAAAAATGTGATTCTGAGAGCAGTTACCAACGGGCTTTTCAATGTTTTCAAGAAGCCCACCAGGACCTGCACATTCCCTGTGGGAGCTGGCAGTGCTCCCTGAACCCTGGCGCCTCACTTCTAATGAGTGGATTCAGACGGCGGGTGGAGGGGGTGCCCCAGGAATCGCACGCCTCCCCCTCTGTGATGGTTGGCATTCGTATGTAACTTTTTGTTTTCTGTCTCTTTCCAGTTCCTGGCCCAGTTGATGGTGTTTCTGATCAGTTTCATAAGCTCCGTGTTCTGCGGCCACCTGGGAAAGCTGGAATTGGATGCCGTCACACTTGCAATCGCAGTACGTGTGGGACTGTTCTGACATGTCCGTAGTATTTATGAAAGCCATCTGTACGCGCTGCCTCTTGCTATGCTCAGGAATGACGCAGGTTAGCAGCTTAAACCAATGCGGACGTGTTAGCGTCAGTGCTGGAGGTCAGAAGTCTGAAATGGGCTCCACTGAGCTCTCTGAATTCAGGTGTTGGCAGGGCTGTAGCCTGAGTTCTCCTTTGCCTGTAACTTCACATAGTCCCACACCAAGGGTGAAGGGAGAGGAGTGCTGGGAGTCTGCGGGTGGAGACAGGGACCTCTTTGAGGGGCCTTCATTCTGTCTACCACATCAGCTTATGTGTAATCCATGGAGATCTGGCTCCCATTCTTGGTCCCACATCTGGGAGAAGGGAATCGGGAAAGGAGGGTTGAACGCTGACTTCAGAGGAAACTGTGGACAGGGCCTGGCTGGAGGGGCCCGTGGGGGCATGAAGTCCCGAGAGCATGAGCGCACGTGTGGGAGCGCTTTCTCCGGAGCCACGGGAAGGAGCCGGAGCACTTCTCCGAGCCCGTGACCAGCCGGTCGTAGTCCAACATGCAGAGTGAGTGCTGAAAAGCAGCTGAGGTCAGGAGGGTGTACGTGTTCGAAGGCCTCGCACCCTCTGCTCCAGGCACCACGGCTAACCTGGAGGACAAGGACCAGGTGACACCCGGAAGAGAAGTTTACAGGCCTCCTATTGGCAGCGGTTAAGTGTGGCATTTTGACAAACAAAGGCAAGACCCTCCATCAACAAAAAGATTATGATTTGATTTATTGCAATAGCCGCTTTATTACAGTGTTCTGGAACCAAACCTGCCATATCTCGGAGGCATGCCTGTGTACAGAAAATAAAGGGGAGTGATGTCAGAGGAACGGCAGCGTGAGAGAACCCTTTGGTTTCTTCCCTTAGAGTTTTAACAATTTGAACAACTCTAACTCAGCATGGGATTCCCTGCTCAAGGTACAGGCACAGCTGAGAGATCTTCACTTTGTAGCATCTAAAGGCGGGCGAGTGGGAACAAACGGGGGAGGCGGAAGGGAGGAGGGCTCACAGGAGCCATGGATGCAGGGGAGGGGAGGAATCCGGTTGTGGCTGGTGTTTCCTTCAGCCGGGAGGAGCAGAGAGACTGGTGAGCACGCCTGCAGAAGTGAGCGACATGAGCTGCAGCTGATCCAGCGACCTGGGCAGGACGCAGCATGGGGCAGCTGCTGCAGTTGTCTGGCAGTTGGAATTCAAGGCAGAGAAGCAAAGCCATGGAGTCCTGCCACCCGTAGACTCCCAGCACTCCTCTCCCTTCACCCTTGGTGTTGGGTGTGGAGCACATTATTCATAAACCCGAGAACTGGTACGGTAGGGTCACTGTTTCCCCTGAGCAGAGGATGTGCTCTGTGACTGGTCCCTAGTTGGGGCTCAAGGAGGCCTTTGCAGAGGTCCAAGGTTGCCATTACTGGGAGGGAAAAACAAAGAAGGCGGCTGGGTTCCCTCAGCCAAACCCAATTCCACGCATGCCGGCTGTCCTGATGGCAGCCAGAACCACTGCTGGGGGTCAGCATTCTGATTTTACAGAGCTAAAAAAAAACTTGTGATTCATTGCCACCTACTAGAAAATAATAAAAAGACCTCTTTGTAGTAATCAGCTAGAAAAGTGGCACTCATACATAGATGCCTAGACAGAGAAGAAATCCATCTAATATCATGAGTAACCAGGGTAGTGAGGCAGCTCAGAAACAAAATGAAAAATCTCCAGAAAACAAACTTAAACACATGAAAATATGTGGTATAAATGACAGAGAATTCAAGATTGCTGTTCTGAAAATACTCAATGAGATGCGAGAAAATACAGACAGGCAATTTAATGCATTCAGAAAACAAATTAAGAAACAAAACCTTTACCAAAGAGATTGAAACTTTATTAAATAACCAAACAAAAATTCTGTAGGTGAAGAACTCAATAAAAGAGTTTAAGAATGAACTAGTGAGCATAGGAAATAGAGCAGACCAGATGGAGGAAAGAATTACTTTATCTATGCCGAAACCGGTTTGGCTCAGCGGATAGAGCGTCGGCCTGCAGACTGAAAGGTCCCAGGTTCGATTCCGGTCAAGGGCATGTACCTGGGTTGCGGGCACATCCCCAGTGGGAGATGTGCAGGAGGCAGCTGATCGATAACCAAACAAAAATTCTGTAGGTGAAGAACTCAATAAAAGAGTTTAAGAATGAACTAGTGAGCATAGGAAATAGAGCAGACAAAAAAAAGAATTACTTTATCTAAGCAAGAAATATCGAAATGATGCAGAGGGAAGAAGAGAGAAACTTGAGCTTAAAAAAATATATGAAAGAACCCTACAAGAACTATCCAACTCCAACAGAAAGAGCTGTCTGAGAATAATAGGGCACACCAGGAGGAGAAGAGAGGGAGAAGGGAATGGAGAGCCTATTCAAACAAATAGTGGATGAGAACTTCACAAACCTATGGAGAGAAGTAGACCCAAGAAGCAAGCAGAACACCTAGTTAACCTCAATCCCAAGAGGCCTTCTTCAAGGCACATTGAATTAAAACTGTCAAAAATTAATGACTTCGCAAGACAGCCAGGGAAAGGAGGAAAGTAACCAATAAAGGAAATCCCATTAGGTTATCATCAGACTTCTCAGCAGAAACTCTACAAGCCAGAAGAGAGTGGAACCAAATATTCAAACATCTGAAAGAGAGAAATTACCAGCCAAGAATAATAGCCAGCAAAGTTATCCTTTAAATATGAAGGAGAAATAAAGGTTTTCCAGACATACAGAAGCTGAGGGCTTTTATCACCAGAAGACCTCCATTGTAGGAAATACTCAAAGGGGGCATCCTACCTGAAACAAAGAACATAAGGTCACAACACTACGGGTAAGATCACCAAAACACTTACAGCATTAACAAGGATAATTTTTGACAACAAAAACATAAAAGGGGAGAGGGAAGGTCTGAATTTGCAAAGGAGGATGAAGATCAGATGCATTCAAAAGAAAAAGGACTACAGTATATATGAAACTTTATATTTTATAAATCTAACTAGAGGCCCGGTGCACAAAATTCATGCACTTGGGTGGGGGAGTGGTCCCTCAGCTAGGCCTGCACCCTCTCGCAGTCTGGGAGCCCTCAGACTCCCCGGGGGGAGTGGGCCTAAGCTGGCAGTCAGACATCCTTAGCGCTGCCATGGAGGTGGAAGAGGGTCCCGCCACTGCCGCTGCGCTCGCCAGCCGTGAGCCCGGCTCCTGGCTGAGCGACGCTGCCCCTGTGGGAGTGCACTGACCACCAGGGGGCAGTCCTGCATTGAGTGTCTGCCCCCTGGTGGTCAGTGCGTATCATAGTGACCGGTTGTTCCGCTGTTTGGTCGATTTGCATATCAGCCTTTTATTATATAGGATGGTAACCACACACACACACAAAAACAAAATGGAGAAACATAGCTTATAAAAAAGGAGAAAACAGACGAAAGAAGTATGGAATATCACCAAATAAAAACAAAAGACAGTAACACAAGGAAAATAACCAATGGAGGCACAGAGCTACCAGAAAACAGAAGATAAAATGGCTATAGGAAATCCTCATACATCAATAATTACCCTAAATGTTAATGGACTGAATTCACCATTAAAGGGGCACAGAGTAGCAGAGTGG